AGGGAGGGACTAGTTCAGATATTGCTATATTGCCAACAGCTATGAACGGGACAAAGAGAACGCCCTCAACTTCGTAACCTCGTCCTCCTCGGAATCAAGCCAATTTTCCCAAGACAAATTAGCATGGGAATGGTGTTTACTTAGTCATCAGTTTGACCAAAAGTAAGGCCTCCATCTTGTATTGTCTGCAAGGCTGTAGTCACGCGTTGATGAAAAGGAAAGTTCCTACACTCCAAATGGACAATAATCCTCAGGTCAGATGAAGCCGAATATTGCTAAAATCAATCTCGCTTTATCATTGGATTCTAATATGTATATAAATATATATATATATATATATATCGAGGGGAGCCCCTTTTTAATAGCTTACAGAAAATTTTGTATGATTACATCAACTCGACTTGTATATTTTTATTCTAAGGGGTCCGCCCGAGCTAATCAAATTCATATCCAAAAGTTATCTTGAGAGTTGACTTTGAACGATGTAGGGTGCGCTATGGTCTAATGGCACCTCGAATTAAAGGCTTAAACATCTACTGGAGCCAGATTAACAGCAAAACTTGCCTTTTGTCATACTGGCCGACTTGACTCTAGTCTTCTTGTTTTCGCTCTTTCTTCTGAGTATGCACATATGCACATGTGTACACCTACAACAGGATTGTATATGTCCTTACGCCCCCCTTTGCCTGCTCAACTCCCCTTCTCTACTCTCTAAATAGAACGTGACAATTAGGCTATTTGCAAGTCAGATGTAAAACTAGAGGGGAAGAGAGAGAAGTGAATAAAGAAAAGTATGGAAAGAAGTGGCTAGATAACAAAAAATAAGAAAATGAGAAAAAGAGAGGGAATATGATAAAGGAAAAGACGGAAAGAGATATAACGAAAGGTCTGACTGCTAGACACTAGAGTAGATGCAATATAAGACGAATCAGGCGGAAGAGGTGCCACATATCAGCCTGGGGGGTAGATGACTAGGAATGTCTGCGAGGGCGATGAATCCGCTAGTATGAAAGCCATATTGGTAAGTACTCTCATGCTTTTGCAGAGAATGCTTGGCATTCAGGTGTTTATGCATATGACGAATTCGATGCTTACGCTGATTGCTGGTATTTCTGTAAGCTCGCTCTTGCATTCTGAATCATTGCCTCTCGCCCCCTACACCACAAGAATGACTCTCAGATTCACATGTGAGCCAGGTTGCATCGTACTTGACTATGTACAGGCTTGAAGACATATCGAGGCTCGATATCTCATCCTATTTGCCCCAGCAGCCCCAAAGCAAACAAACAAACGCAACCGGCCGGGTACGTGCTTTAGGGCCAACCTGTAAAGCAAGCCCATTAGAACACAGAAGCCAGGCAGACGAGACAATGCTTTAACCTCGAAACTACTGTTGCGGGCACACAGCTAGACGAAGAGGTCTCAAACTATACGACATTAAGAATATATCAACGCAACAATACTCAAACAAGCACGCTCTGGGCATCTAGCTTACAAGCCGTCAGACCAGAGCAGATGATGTTACATATGGAAGCTGAGTTGGGGGAGATGGAGACGAAGACGAAGCGCCCAAATGTGGAAGCAAACAAGAGAATGATGCTGACGGTCTCAATGACAATTATGAGCGTGAGGCAACCAATTGAAATGACACTATATTCATACTAACATAGAAAAAGGGAATAAGAATATGGTAATTATGGTAGTATACTGGCACTTTGTTAGTGGCGAATTAGGTCTTGGATACGGTGAAGAAGAAGTATCTGTAAGCCAGCATCGGTATACGATGTCAATAATGAGATTAAGAGCATAACAATATTCGTAAATGCTAATAGTGATCTGTTGGTTAGATTATTCTAGAGCATCGATTAAATTTTATGGGCCAACAATTTTGATGATGAAGACACACAAGGAACTTACAACACTGTTACTTCTAGTGCAATTGAGTAAGAGTACATGTAGTTGACTGACCATTAAGTAAGTCTATCGATAACTCGGGGTTATAATGATGACGAGGTTTCTCCTAGTCTGACTAGAAATTGTGCTACAACTATCATCATATTTTTTGGACTCTATCTATGTTGGCCCTGTCATTAAAACAAATTATAAGCATTGACAAGATAGCAACGTTTAATCGAAATCGTAATAAGAGCCATTAGCCTCATAAAAATTCGTAAATACCAGAGGGCATACGAGTTATCTGGACACACTCACACTACTTTCTGCTATACAGAATCGAAGGCCTAATGAACTGGATGCCTTGCGCATGTCTAGTTATATTTGAGCAACCAAAATTTACTTAATACATTTTGTGCATACTGTGAGACTTACAGTAGAATGCACCTGCTAAGAATTGTGAGGATGAAGCTAGTATCAAGTTGGTTTGGGCAAAGTGCTTTTTTAGAAGAGCTAAGGGAGCGTTTGAGCTTGTTAGTGTGGGTCTTCGAAGCTCTAGGCTTATGCATCTGCTCCTAATGTGAACGGCAGGTATCCTCAATATTATTATCTAATATAATGTTTTTAACTTTGTTAACTTGCAAGAGTAAAGAGTAGCGAATTCATTTTCAACGAGGAGACAATTGGAGAGGCTTGACCTAGAAGCGTTTCCATATTTTACTATTCCTCACTTGACATAAGCCCTTTCCTTATATGTAAAGAGTTAGGACATTATAATGCTATGTTAGTCTCCATAGTGGACAGAGTGATTTTAATAAGTATTTAGCTGACAAGCATAATCACCCATAAAAAAGGGTGAAATGAGATGATGATGATAGAATCCATGCTGTTATGATAATGGGAATATTGAGGAAGATAAGCAATTAAAAAGAATAAATCGAAAATTCATTTAGATTACAACCCTATATTTTTAAGACTGAATATGGCTAATGCAATAAGTCAGATAAATGCATGGATTTGTTGGGTTACTACCCCTATAGCCGATGTACTTTGCCCATACTCCTGTCACAAAGCAGATGGTCGCACTCTAAGGTAGGCTTAAACTGCGGCAAGTTTACTTTGGAAACTGTGACTGACTTTGCTTAACTCAAAGTCAGAAAAGCAAGCCTAGACTGGCAATAAAACTGGGTTTTACTCTCGCATAACTTATCACATAATCACTTCTGTTGCTTTGTGTTAATGTACAAGCCCTATATTGACCAGCATATTTTCGGTTCTAACCATTGAATGTATGAGTAGTGAGAGCCTTCAATCATGAATCCCTATTATATAGTCGCTTAGGCAACCGTGAGGCACGCTAAATTATGATCTCGCACCTTCCCATAAGGTTTGCCATTCTATGGCTCAGTAATTTTTAGGCTAATTTACTAACAGAAACTAGATTTGTGCTTAAATTTACCCCCCCCTCCGCCGGCTCATCAATGATTCACACACAACAGTCTGTTTGGTATAGGATATTATGCAAGAGTCCCCTAGTGCGTTGGTGTTTGCTTCCACTTGTTTGTCCACCCAAACAAAGCAGTTTGTCATTTTCACTCGAGAGTGTGATTTAGTCAATCTGCTTGTAACAGTTTTTTCGGTAAATTATATGGGCTAATTATTCAATAACTGGTTGTCACTAGACTGCCTTAATTCTGACCGGTCCCTTTTTGGAAAACACTGTATGCGGTCAGGCCGCCAAAGGGAGTAGAAAATCCTCAATCTAGGTCGAATGAGAAATAGCTCTTGCTACTCAGAAACGCATGAAAGTTTCAATTTGGCACCCACTTACTCCATATCACGTGAAAGTCAGGCAGAATTGTAATTCATCTGTTTACATAACCCACTGAAATATCTCCAGTAATTAGTTTATTATCGATAGCAGTTAAGTGTATGAAAGAGTTGACCCCCTAGAAGTTATTTCCACTATTTGTTCTAGGTTAAGCAGCTCTTGACTAAGAATTGTACCGAAGCATATTCTATGTGAATATAGGTAGATCTTAATCCACAATTAAATGTGGGAGGAGTATCCCACTTCAGTAGCAGGTTTATGACCAGAATATTTGGTCTAGAGCTCTATTTCTTAGCCAGCCCTCTGAATAGGCTCGACGTATGGGGTTAATACAGAAAACAACCGGGAGATCTTCAGAATCTCTTTAATTAATACTACGAATTATTGGGGAAATACCTCGTTGACTGGCACTATGTGTAACTTCCACCAATCCAATTGTACACTCAAATTGAGCTAAAGTATAAATGGTAGATAGTGACTTATTTTACTGTCCAGTTGGTATTTATTCCAAGCATGAGTATGTCAGGGGATCAGTCCCACCTAATTTCGTTTATGACAAGTCTCACTTACACTGCAAGTAAATAATTGCCCAGTTACCCTAGATCGTCAAAGGTGATTTAACGACTGATAGTTGGGCTTCCCAGCAACGAGATGAGCAAGCAGCAGGATGCCATTGAATTTCCCTTAGCCTTGCCTTCCATAAAGCTATCTCATGCGAGGCTGACTGTAGTTTCAACCTCGTCTAGGCCTCAAAAGCGCACTTAAAAAGTGGATTCGATACAAGGTTGTGATTAGTAAGGCGACGTTACCACTTCACTCTACAACACAGCTAAGGGTGCAAATGGGCCAAATGGTAGACGTGACATTCAAGGCAAGCCAGGCCTTTTCCAAGTCACATTCATGGTGTAAATGTCGATTAGGCAAAAATATTTTTTTCCATTGCAATCGACAACGGTGTGCTGAAGCCAAAACATACTGGGTTTGCTAGAGGAT